AAGTGCCAGCTGGCTGCTGTAAACACTGAAACACGGGGTTGATCGTAAAATCTAGGGTCAAGGGAAATGCCCGACATGAAGGATTACAGAGGATGCGCTTGACCGTCGGTCCATACATATCCAAGCAAACTGCATATCGCTTGAGCCTAGGCCGTTGAAAGAACAACGTAAATTAAGGTTGAATACACTGACTCCATTAACTACAAGGCACTGAACGTACCCACCTTCCGGACTGCACTCACATTCCATAGGTTGAGAGATAGGTATTTCGGGTTCACTACGCACCCAAATGGAACAGTTAGCTTGCAGCTTCAGGAGAAGGGTGCTGGAACATACACCAGTTCTTTGCAGAACCATCATGATTTTCCCTGGACGAGATTCCACGCACTGTTGAACATTAAAGGCCTCAAAGTTAGGTAAAGACAGTTTCCAAATCTAAGTCAGAGAAATATCCGTCGTTGCATTACCAACTCAATCGGTTTCAGTCATGGAAGGCGAGAGGTAGTTCAGATATATTTTGGTGTGATTTCACAAAATAAGGCGAAACAAAGGTAGCAAATTATGTAGCATATAAATAGAAATATTATCTAACACTGCCATCTCACTTGTTTCACAACTTGCACTACTTCAGAAATGCGTTTCGAAAATTCTAACACATTTGATGGAGTGATGTCGGAGGATATCGTACGCAACAGGGCGGGGATCCACATGTGCAGCTGGTTGTATCGATCTTTTGGCGAAGCACACGCCAGAGTCTGCGCCAGCCAATAGAGCAAACGTCCACTTGAAAACATCACCCAAGCGGGCCACAAACACAATCGCATTTCGTGAGCAGTTTTGCCATCACCTTCAATAGGATCTTCTTTTGCATCATTACATGTGCAGCACATCACTTCTAGTAAAGTCGTCAGGTGCTGTATTTCCACGTATACTAATTGTAGTTCATTCAGCTGATGTACAACCAAAACGGAGTAACCCGGATGGCCGTTTGTCACACATTTACGCTTCGCATATTCAGCAACTTGGCCCTGCCGCTTACTCAGTTCAGCTAGTGCCTGATCCAAAACGGCGCCATCGTGACGACGAAAGCACTCGTAACGACATGCAGTCAACAATGCACAGTGATAAAAGCTAACCCGACAGGGTTTCTGACCAATGTACGTCGGTTAACATTCTTAATAGATGTATGTCGTAACCACAAAATAAGCACACATATAATACCCCACATTTGAGGTATGTCATAATCCGCCCTGCTCAGGTCAATTGATAAATACTGTCTGAAAAATTGATGGAATCTTTCTACTGCAGACTCACCACGGGGCATGCTCACAACAGGCAACTCCACGGAGAACGTGGATATTCGCCTACCTACACGGCGGCTCTCTATCGGCTTGCCATCTGTCAACCAGCGGAATTTGTGCGAACAACCGTTGCGCTTCTCAAGTTCAAGCAATAAGCTATAGTTTAACGATCGAACATACTCACTCACAGAGTAGATAGAATCCTTGTGGTTCAGATCCTCATACAGAATCCATAGCACACCTCCACCACGCATGTAAAGAGCATCAAGCAGCGAAATTGTTATCCGACCACTTCGATAAGCGCGTTTCAGCTGCCGCGGCCATCGAAAGCAAAAATCTGCATTCACTTCAACCTCCGCAACTTCCCAATGAGCTAGGGTCTGAGAGAGCAATGAAACAGCATCATCCAGCGTTTTCACTGAAATAGAATCAATGTTGACAGGTGGGTTCCCGCGTGGTGCGTGCAGGGCAAATGCAGTGTCCGTAGGGAGGTTTAATTCCTTGGCCAGTTCAAAACCATCCGTAAACGAGTCAAGAAAATACCCATGGATGCACTGCGCGACTTGTTTAGTAATCTCTTCTAACTCGAACATGGCATATCCGGACAGAATTTCACGTATCGCACCTGAGGGTTCGCCCGAGAATTGCTCCAACCAATGCAGCACATCATGTATCCGCTTCACGCCTTGAGACTGTTTTATAAGGCCTTCGACGCTAGCAGGCGGGCGAACGTTTGAACTTGGATCATTGTTCAAAAGCACCGCCAGCAGGGGAAGTAAATGCGGTTTCACTTTGTTCAAACAAGGTGGATATTGGCAAAAAACGGAACATGATAATCCATAGCACGTGGCAGACTGTGAGTCACAATCGGCGCATTTCGTTGGCAACTGCTCACAAGTAGATTTTAGTAAAGAGAACGGAATCACTCGGTAACGTGATGGGACAAGCGACTGAAATATGTAGAAGTCGGAGTTGTTACTCATTAGCGGACAGTTAAGTACCACAGCGAGTTCAGCCATTTGTAATTTAGCCTTGCGGGTGCCACAAATGTATGGGACGCCGCATTCATCTAGCAACTCCATCACAACTTGATGGGCGAGTTTCGGTAGTAGATTTTCGAGGGAAGCCATACTGTCTGGATCTGCGAATGCTCTGGCCTGTTGGATGAAATCCCACAAAGCGTTGATTCGTTGCATGTTGCGATCCAGTAACGTCTCCCGTTTGCCGCCCTAGAGGGAATAGTAGACAAAGTGAAGCGCGAAAACGAACATGTTAAAAGCTGTTGGGTGATTAATAGGTGAACGCTGTTCTGGTGTTGTTAGACCCCATGGTGGCTACTTTGCACGAATAATCAAGTGTCTGCAATATGTCATCAAAGACGGTTGCGAGCCGTTTTCTTTTATGGATGGTGCTAAAAGCTTAACTGTGAGGACGTGTAGAACACTGAAAATGTAAGCCAAAAAGCACTTCATGTACATTCGACATGGCATTGCCTAGCTCGTTGTGTGCTTAAGTGAATTAACCGATCGCCAACTAAATGAACCTTTCTCAAACTTCTTTTCATTTGCATCACGCCTTTTTACTAAAATTCGGCGGGACGGTGCACGCCAAAGGCCCGATCGTCTTCACAAAAGCGCATAGAGTGATGGTGGGCAAGCGCGGAACTGTTCGCGAGGAATTCCTGCACCTGGTGGAGCTTGCAAGCATTTAGCCGTTCAAATAGCTTCTCGTATTCGCTCTTTCATACAGTGCACGGAAAATCAGGAGGCTGGCGACAGACGATTGTCCTGCATTAAACAATGCGACTACTCCAGACAAAAATACGATCACTTAATTCTCAGACACCACTACAGGGTATCTTATTTCCCGTGTCTTCTCCAAGACAGACCAGATAAGCAAATGTTTTCCCCTAAGAGAATATCCCAAATACTCCCGCCTGGTTTTCTGATATGCCCGACGCTGCACGAATATTTCAGCGCTTCGTCTACTGCTTTATGCATGAACTAGATCGCTCACACCCGCACAGCGATGGTATTTTCACCCAAATCACCTACAACTATTGTTCAAATGGCTGAATACGAGCATCAAATTAAACTCAAACGAGTGCATTTTGAAACATCCACTCATAGACCGACTCGAGTACAAATCGGATTTCTGGGGCATCAGATCCATAAATGACAATGTTTGAAAAACTCGTGACTATGCTGTCCCTACCATTCTAGCTGCCTCTCACCGTTTCAAGGACATGGTCAAGAATATTTGTCATGCTATACTGAGGCGATGCGGTTGCTTAAGGATATTATAGCCATAAAGTTGATCTTATGCCTACAGCGGAAGAGGCGTTCAAAGCCAACAATATGCAATCGCTTCCATCGTCAAAGTGCATCACTGCGACGCAAATGCCCCAGTCAGTTTGGCCTTCAACACCTCGGAAAGTGTAACCGCCGCTGATCTACACCAATATTCCGTAGGTAACTGGAACCCGTTGATAACCTTCTGTCAAGCTACACGGAGAGCTGCAATGAAGTACATCACATTTAGCCGCGAGTTGCTTACCGTCTGTGCTACTGTTCATCAATTTTGGCAAATCCTGGAATGTAATAGCTACTATTAGCATCGACCACAAACTGGTAAACCACATCATCAGCATGGCAACCATCGCACGAAGTCGGTCATATGGACTTCGTCCCCGAGTAATTGTCTTGGTTAGGACGGGCCAACCGATCGATCTTCCATCTATGGCCACCTCGCAGCAAACCGATGATGCCCCACTCGCCTCTTGCAAGCAATCCACCAAAATAAGTCCGACGTCCACTGGCGCAATAATTTGGAATATCTCTTCAGGAAATCTACTTTCCCTCGCGCGTATTGCCTTTCGACCAACAGTATTCGTTAAACTGCTCAACATCGCACATTCTGGTGTTCGGGTATCACTCAAGTCGATTTCTGCCAGCTACGCTTAATTCAACATGCAGCGCGAGGTCAGAAACTGGGCATGCAAACTTTAGACTTACTAACGAGCGAACGTTTATCGACACCACAATGCCCGTCAACTGGACGCATCAGGTCAGAATCCTACCGAACCGCTCGCATCCACGTAGACATAGTAAGACCATTTTCGCTGTCCCAAGGAATGGCCTAATTACTGACCAATGTGCGTCGCATCAAACGTTTGGCTAGAAATTGTCCCTATGCTCCGTTTCTGCATTTTCCCACGTGATACGTATGGCTCATTACCAAGTCTCAAAACTGCCAGACGTTAGGCATCAACTCTCTCATTTACACAACCTTATTAGTAATCGAGACCGGCAACACCCGCCTGCGTCTTAATTCTATAGGCTGAAAGTGCATCTTCATCGCTGTTTCTTCCCTAATCATCTGGCAATTGTGCTTTTCTATGGTTGCTAACTACGCATCACTTTTTCTCATTTTGCTTAACCTGCGATCTATTATCCTCACGATGCACTCATAAACATGAACGCACAGTTGAGCATTCCCAGTACAAGTCACGTCACCAAAACATGTACTAATACGTTTAAAGGCAACTCTATAAATCTGCCGCTACCAACTCTTTCGTAGAGATGGTTGTAAAATAGTTGGGGGAGACGCTGCGCATCTATTCATGGGACAATTACCTTGATGTCTCATGACCACCTAGTGATATAAAACGTCCTTAAATCTCTGTGATTCATTTGTACCGGTGCGTTCCATCATCTGTCCCTCAAATGCATCTACAACTCTCCAACCACTATACGTACCGCATTACATTTTCGCATAAGCAAACAATAGCAAGAGACATCCATCTCAGAGTAGCTGTCTTCATTAGTACATAGGGAATTAATCATTATTTGTATGGCCAAAGGATGGACACAGTTTTACAAAACTTAATACGTCAAACAATTTCAACGCAAACACCTATCTATTGGACAGTCTGCCTTCTATTGACCGAAAGAAATAGATATGTCACCATCAGAAAAAATACATCAACCTGGACCCGTTCTCGCAATACTACACACATCTCTCCGGACTGGGATCAATTTGTTCTACCTAACCTTTGCATAACCACAGCATATTTCTACACTAACAAGCATTATTCCAAAACACACCTTGGTCCACAACGTAAACCTGTCACTTACAGCTCTAAGAATAAAAATGTAGGATTCTTTACCCTGAAGATGCGCAAAATGCTACCAAACACTGCGTTACTGGAGTCTTATCAACAACATTGCGATCGCACGAATAGGTGACTAGTATCAAAACTGATTAAGCGATGCGGCATAAACCGAGGGAGGAAAATTTCGGAAATTGTATGAACCAAGTAAAATCGGTGCTTTTATTTTAGGGCGAAACGGAAACGTCTTTCCAATCTGTATGCATATGGTAAATCCAATGCCGATTCGTGAAAATTTCGGTGCCTACTTTGCCATCTCCACAACTTTTAATCTAATCCCCAACTGGATTTCATCAAACTACAACAACCAATGGCCTTCGAAATGTAGAAATCGCTGATCTCACTGTGTTTATCAATCGATGAAAACCATCAAATTTCTTCACGGTTTGGACTCGGACACCATCCCCTGAGCCGTCAATAGACTTACCACAGCGTTTGTGTAATATCTTCACTTCGTCGCTATAAACTAACAGTTCTCGATCCAATGGAATACCTCGTTCATCATCCGTTCAAACAAAACGTGCCCAAACAAAAAGGTACAAATTAGTGACTACAACTTATAATCCCATATTCCTCATTCCATCTGAAAGATGGTGAAAACGTTGATAGGGTTTCTTAGTTAGCTAGATATGTTTAACAAACCCCAACAAGGTTTCCTGTATGCCTGTCTACTCGATAGCAACTGTTAACTGCGACGGAACACGTGCATCTCTGAACTGACCGTTAGTGGACTACTTATTGAGGGCGCCGTACGTGATAACGGCCTCTCTTGAGCTGATGGTATCCACGAAAGGCTCTTGCGAGCGTACGTCGCAGCTCTAGCTTGACCCCCTTCAAATCTGTTCACCCACTACTACTCGCAAGGCATAGTTCCCAATGATTGGAAATGTGGGTCTGTTACAAAAACCTGCAAAGACGGTACTCGCAAAGACAAGGCCAATTACCGACCAATAACTCTCCTCTCTACGACTTCCAAAGTAATAAATTCGATCATCGCAGACGCTTTACTCGACCACATGGAGGCACAGAAACTGTTCTGCTATTTCCAGCACGGTTTCTGGCGACAACATCCGTGCCTGAGTAACCTGATACTTGCTAGGGATAGCTGGACGAGTGCTGCTAACTCTGGCCTAGAAACGCATGTTTCATTCTTGGATTTTGTCAAAGCCTTTGACAATGTCGACTACAACCATCTAATACAGAAACTATTGTGTTACGGCGTTCCAAGGGCTTTGATCTACTGGATCCAGAACTACCTTCAAAACCGTACCGTCCAAGTACGTGTCAGCAGAGCTTTGTCTCACAGCCTCCTTGCCACATGCGGTGTTCCACTGGGGTCGGTTCTCGTACCGGACCTCTTCCTAGCCTTCATTGATGACGTCCCACCGCAAGTGGAGTCTTCGGTACTGCCACGTGCGAATAACGCAAAGCTGTGGCGCATAATTAGCCTTTAGACTTCAGACGGACCTCGACCGTCTACATAAGTGGGCCACGGAAAACAACCTTCCATTTAACGCTTCGAACTGTCGCGTCCTTTCTACCCGCTCTTCCGCTGTTTCTCCTATATATTACCTGGGAGCATCTATCCTCTAAATCACTTCAGCTGAAAGAGACTTGGATATCATTATCCAGAGGTTTCTTTCCGTACCCGCTTCCTGCCGTAAAGCAGCAGACGCTGTTAACCGCATGGTTGGATTGCAGAAACGGGCCTTTGTTCAAATTGACCCTAACAATTTCCGCCTCCTTCTCAACACGTTTTTTGACCCCATTTGCAGTTTGGTAATCAGGCTTGGAGCCCCTGTTTGTTGAAGGACCAACGCATACTCGAAGTCCCACAACGTCGAGCAACAAAACTTGTCCGAGGTCTAAAGCACCTAGATTATCCACAACGACTTCATGGCCTGGGCCTCTACTCGCTTAAGTACCGACGTCTCCAAGGCGACCTGATCCAAGTATTTATAATCACATTCAATCCTGGACATCCCTGTCGCCACTTACTTAAACTGCACCAATTGTACTCCCACCTACCTGGCCTCCCACTGAGGCTCATAAATCAGC